TTCTTAGACCACTGTCTTATCTAGGACTATTTAACTCCAATTTGGGGGCTATAATATCAGAGCAAACTATTTGACAGGTGATCACTGTAAAAATAAAAACAAATCACTCCCTAAGAGCTCACTGTTTAATCACCAGAATAGAAGAAATGCATCATAAACCCATTTTATAGAAGACTTTCAACTTTATAGCAAAATGGGCTCCCAGACACAATCATATTCCTGCTGGTAATGACGATACACATTTTAGCCATAAACTTTCTTTTAAAGGTGATAATTTTAGTTAAATATAAGCCTTTTCAGGAGAAGGCGTTTATGCATCTCAGTTAAACACATGCATTGGTAGTATCAGCAAGTTTGCAAATTAGAAGTTCAAGATAGTTTTATACCTCACTTTTTAGGAGGTTGTGTTCAAAATTAAAATCTGTGTAGAATCTTCCAGGACATTTAAAAACTCCAAAGATGCTGATTGCATGGAGGAGAAGGAAAGAAATCTCAACCTTCTGTTCACTTATGTAGGCCCATTTTTTAATTCAACTGTCAAACTAACAGAAAAGAACATAAATGGTTTTTGCTCAGATTAGAAGTCTGACATTAAAATATTTCATATTTTCTCTCCACATTTCAAAAAATTGCCAGTCTCATCACTGCACAGAGATCTGTCTAAAGGCCTCAATTTCTGGGAAGCCCAGGAATAGATCTGACATGGAGGTATGGCCTATATGCTTTAACAGGGACACAGATGAAATCGATAGGGTTAAAAATTAGGAGACAGCAGTGATGCCTGCACTCTCTGTTGTGGGCAAGCTTGGTGGCATGATGACAGTTACATTCGTAATTCCTTGGTTAAATATCAAGAAGTGTAAATTCTTGACAACAAGGGTTGAAAATTATTTGGTTTCATCTGTTGTTTCAGGTTATTTCAGGACCAAGCAGGAAACTGCAGTAATTTATGAAGGATTCTACTGTGGGCTTAGGAAGTAGCTTCTCGGCACTAGTAATTCAGATCTCTCTCAAAGAGCTGCTCCTGAATTTCATCGTAATGGACGAGCAGTAGTGACCACCTCTCTGGTGGCTGCTGTGAGGAATGGCTATTGTTATCATGTTTTCTGGACTTTGCCAGCTGATGGCACAACAAATCCCTGCCAGGTTTTGGAAATACTTCTATTACCTCGCTGCTACTTTTCTGCCAGGGATAAAAGTTTTGAGGTGGCCAGACCCAGAACATCCTTACACAGATACCTGTTACAATGCTAGAGTATACACTGCTCATTTCTCCTATTTTTACCTGCTTTCTGCTTTCTTGAGATTATTTTGTATTAAGAAAACAAGTGATATTTGAATTCCAAAGAGGGGTGATCACAGGTCTATAAGGGGTTTTCCCACTTGAACTCTGACGTCAGTAGGTTGTGTAGATCCGACCTGCTGTGGTATTGTTTGATTACTTCTTTTGCTTTGATGTCTTAGTAGTTTAATTGGGGAAAAGGGGGATAGCTTAGGACCCAGTTCCCTGTGCACTTGTTTCTATTCCAGAAGTCTGTATTTTACCATCTGTGACCAAGAAGTGTGGGCATAGCAGCTCATGGTTTTCCATCTGCCATACCCTTGTTTTCATGTTTGTTTTAAGCTCAGGTAAAGATAACTTCCTCCTGTGTCTCCAGTTTCCATTCAGGGTATAATATTATTCAATAATTGACTTCCTTTTCAAGTTGGGCAATAAATTGGTGTTCCCAGATGGTAGCATTGGGGTGGGAGAAGGTAGGGGGGCTATGCAATAAAGATTCGCAAGTTTTGCCCTAAAAATGTTGTAGTTCAGCAGGTATAAAGTGAGATTTGACAACTTTCAAAGAAATTCCAGATTGAACATGTCACGGTAAAAATGGGTCCTTGTTCTATTGAAGTGAACAAATACAGCTATAAATTGATGCTCAACTCAGAACATTCCAGAGGTTAACTGTTAAAGATGTACTTCCTCAGTGTCATTCTTCAGATAAAACTTTTTTACCTTTGGCATAGTTCTAATGTCTGAAAAACTCTGGTGGGATGTGTGTCAGGGGGGTTGGTTTGCTGATCCTTTAGTTAGCTCCAGTTTTTGGCAACTTTGTGTAATTCTGATGGCTTTGATAAATGAACAGCCATGTTGAAAATGGTGTCTGATCGGGAAGACAGAGAAGGAAGCGTGGGTCTGGTAATGTGCAGCCTTTAAATACAGAAGACCCCCAGTGTCTGTAGCATGAACAGAATATGAGATGTGTATCCCTTGTCAGGTGTTGGTTTCTTCTGCTCAAAATAGCATCTACCTAAAAAGGGCCAACTCTAGGACCTTTCACTAGTGTAGGTTTGAGTTCATGGTCATGAAGTTCACCCAACTGCCTTTGTTAAAAACCACTTTGAGTCTAATGATGCTAGAGGAGCAGAACTTAGTTCTTAATGATCGTTAGTAGTCCACCTGATAAATTTGCTAGTATGTGTTCATAACCTTTGGGGGGAAGCCAGGGCCACTTTGGTCTGTGGCTTAAACAGTTGAGCTGCTACTATGTCTGCACCAGTGGCTGAGTGCGTGACATTTTGCAAAGAGGAAATGATTACCCAAGGCATATGCAGGTAGTCATACCCAAGTGTTAGAGAGATTTTCTCCTCTGGTCAGGATCGCTGATGACAATGAGAAGGGCTTTTGCCTCTTTAACCCTTTCCTTATTTAACCAACTCTCCCTTTTGTCCATTGCTTCCTCTGAAGACCCCCTCCTGTCCATTGGCTCTTTGAAGGGAGTTATATGGTGGGCTGGCCCACTCCTTTCCTTGCCCTGCCTCCCCCAACACACACACACAGACACGCGTGTCCTGCCCTCTGTTTCTGGGCAGCCTGTTCCCTGGACTCATCTGTGAATACAGACTGTCTCCATCTGTGGCCAGTAATGTCGGTTGCCTATGTGCTCTGTGTAGGAAGCCTTCACCCAGTTGCTTCTGCGTCCTGCAGAACTGACAAGAGAGGCAGGGGCTTTAAGAGCATTTGTTCCATTGGAAGGTGGGAGCCTCGCAGTGGGAGCCTTGCTCAGAGACATACTTTGTGATTGATAGATGGTGGAAGATGTAGTGGAGGTAATCCGACACTCCTCCTGGCAGTAGTTCTCCATTCAGCATTTTAAAGCCCATTGAGGTTATATCTTCCTAAAAAGAATTGATTTATATGTTTACATGAAATGACAAATTGACTTAGGGTGGTCCATATAAAAGTTTTGCATCACAGCCTTTTTTCCTCACATGGGGAGATTGGAAGTAATCCATTCGTACAATGTGGAATCGAACTGTGGGTTTCTCGGTAGCTAAAGAAGCCATGTACTGTATAGTGTTTCTTCTCAGAATACCAACTCATGTTCTTCAGATGCTTTTCTTTTTTTAATGGTGAGGGAAAAGGTGTAATTTGGGATTCCACAGTGCCTTGCATATAGTAGGCGCCCAATAAATATTGTTGAAGTAAACCAAGTTCCCCAAGTCCTCGTCTCTTACAGGACCAAGAGCATCTTTCTTTTCTGAAGGGCTTGGCAGTTATGGCTAAAAGAAAAAAATAAATAAGCAGTATCATTATTTGCTTGAAATCATATATACAATTTGTATGAATTTCAGTATGTTGCCAAGACATAATCCTTTTCTTATTGTATTTTCTGTAAATATTTCTGGCACTGAACTGTAAAGTAAAGACGAAGTGTAAATATGAAGGTGTCCCCGTGTCCCCCGCCTCCTGTGTTTCATCTTCGTCGACTAGGAAGAGGCCCAGAGGCTTGTTTGTATTTATGCCGATTCTTTGTCCAGAAGAAACCCATGGAATATTGAATGTAATACATTTAGTCAATTAAATTTTAAGGAGATTCTTATCTAAAAAGCTCGTGTTTGCTTTTGGTTATAGGCTGTGGGCGTGACTCCCGCATGGGTGCTCTTTCTGGGGGGCGTCTACTGCACTCCGACCACTCTTGGACATTCAGATCTGTGCGTTTTCGCCCTGGTTTTGTAGTTTCATGAGGGCCTGACAGCCTGGTTCTGAAACAACAGCCACAAAAACCCTATAGCGCACACTTCCTTCCACCCTGACACACGGTCACCGGGGCTCGGAATTGACTCACCAACGTAGAGTAGGAATCCCTGCGTGGTGCAGGTGGTTACGTCCTCAACTGCTAACTGAATGGTTTGGTTTGAGCCACTCGGAGGAACCTCATAAGAGAGGCCTGGCGACCTGCTTCCAGGCTCGCTGCCCTCAAGTCGAATGCAACTCTTAGCGACCCCCGTTGGGTTTCCGAGGTGGTAAATCTTTATGGAGGTAGATCGCCCCATCTTCCTTCCGCGGAGCAGCTGGTGGGTTTGAACTGCTAACCTTCCTATGGAGCCAACAGTGTTTTGACAGAGCTTGAGTCATCATTTTTAAATCGGGAGATTTCGCATAAAAATCGGATTGTTCTGGCTCTCGAAAAAGTGAAGCAATCTGGCGATCCCGGGCCTGCATCGTCTACGCAGCAGTTAGTGACTGGAGCTGAGTACAGCTGCCTGATGGAGATGGCACCGCGCTCCATCCCTGGGCCGCAGTCCCCACTGCTCCCACACAGCCAGTGTGAGCGCTTGTAGTCAGAATTACCCAAGACCCGGGGACCTGGAGGTCTGTGGGACCTCAAATAAATATGAACACCCACCCAGGATAATTTTCTAACTTTCAGCAGCTTGGTGAGGTAAGATTTATTTCCATCTTACAAGACCAGGGAGGTGTCACATGAACCCATTAGCAGCTTAGCTGGGATCCAAACCTAGGCCTGCCTGCCTGCCTGCCTCCCACCCAATCTCCCACACTCCCTCAAGTGTCCCCTGCAGGCTTGGCCTGAAGGACACGCTGACTTCCTTGTTACATCACCCACTCAGTCACAATTGGGCGGATGGCAAAGGGTGGCCCAGCCCACCAGGCTCCCAGGGGCAGCCCCGCCACCCTAGCTGAGGCTGGCCGGCTTAGCCACATGGGCACCATGAAGTACCCTCTAGTGCCACTGGTGAACGACCTCACCTTTCCTTTTCTGCTTTTCTGGCTCTGCCTGCCGGTGGGCTTGCTGCTGTTCCTGCTGACTGTCTGGCTGCACTTCTTACTCAGCCGAGGTGAGTGCGTGCCCACCGGGCAGCTGAGGGGGATGGACAGGCCAGGGTTTCCTGGAGCAACTACAGAGAAGGGGGTTTCATTCGGGCATTTTGACTGCTGGCTCAGATCAAAGCAGGCAACTACAAGAGAGAAGGACTGCACTGGAGTTCAGAGTTGCTTCACCTGGAGTCCGAAGTTGAGTCTTAGGGGGCTCATGAATCCCTGAGCTTGACTATGGTGCAGTATGTGCATGTATGGTACATTACGTGATGTGCATGTCTGTGGTTTTTCTGGGGAGATAGTCCGAAAGATCGGGGCCACCACTGGCACATAACTTCAGTACAAATTAGAAGGAGGGCCTGGGCAGATGATTTGGAAAAAGCTGCGCCTTTGGATGTGGTTGGGGAAGGCCCCGTGAGCTGCCGGGGGCTGGATCTCCGCCCCGCTCGCCCACTCAGCCGGAGCTTTGGCACAGCAGGCAGTTTGCAGTGTGCTCCGCAGCCTTCAGTGTTCCAGGCGCTCGGAGACCACACACACCACTTTGTGCTCAGACCATACCTCGGAGAATCTGGACTGCTTTAGGACACAGGATCACGGAGGCCTGCAGAGTTCGTCCTGAGCTCAGCATGCCTCCACGAGGAGCAAGAGGCTGGGGGCGAGCAAGAGGCTGGGGGCGAAGTTGGCCATGAAGGAAGCTGGGGGTGAGGGGGATGGCATGTGGCCTGGCCCTGTGCCTGGAGTGATCTCTCCCCTCAGGTGTCCTGTCTCCCTGTGCACCCCCTTCAGCTGAGGAGCCTCTTCCTCTTGACCTCCCACTTCCTACTGCTCAGCTCTGTGACCTTTGGCCAACTGGGCAGATGGCTTTGAGGCAGAGCGAGCAGTTCACCCCTCCCCACCTGCCACATGATCTCAAATGTAGGGGCCAGTCACTGTGTAATTAGCGAGAGCAAAGGAGCTCTGGTAGCATAGTGGCTAAAGCACTTGCCTGCTAACTAGAAGGCTGGCGGTTCAAACCCACCAGCCACTCCTCGGAAGGAAGGTTGGGCAATCCTACTTCCGTAGTGATACTGCCTCGGAAACCCAAGGAGGGGTCACTATGAGTCGGGGCCGACTCGATGGCACATAACAACAACAAACAACAACCTGGCAAGAGATCCAGAAAGTCCTCTTGCTTCCAGAAGATGTTTGTGTTCTTGGATTCCCAGGGTGGAGCCTAGGGGTCCCTGAGGGACTTGAACATCAGACCTGGTGGCTGGTGGGTGCTGGAGGACTTGTGTTCATTGGCTATAAAAGCCATCCATCTCTTGGAGTCTAGGAGACTGGAGTTCCAATTTCAGCCTTGCCCCTTAAAAATGTCATGGAGGCTGGAAGAAGCCTGGAAACTGTTGCCCTAAGATAATCTTTAAACCGTAATTTAGCTTGACTAGAAAAGAATGTCTCCCTTGAGTTTTGTGTTCTTTTAAGAAGTATCTGAATGGGATCAAACTGACAATAGCAACTCTTAACAATTAGATAGGAGACTTGAGGGCAGGGAGTTGATGGGGGAGGAACAACTCCGGAAGGTGAGAATGGCTGCACAGCTGGAAGGATGTAACTAGCCAGTGTCGCTGCATGGTGCCTGTAGGGATTGTTGGTTGTGCTGTGTACATTCTCAACAACCACAAAAAAAACTATTTAAAAAAACAATGTGACTATGTGCCGTCAAGTCAGTTCTCACTCAACAACTCCATGCGACAGAGTAGAACAGCCCCAGAGAGTTTCTAAGACTGTAATCTTGTGGGAGCAAATAGGAGCTAACATTTTTGAACACTTAACTATGCACCAGGCCCTGTGTTAAATACATGATATGCATTAACTCATGTAATCCTCAAAAGTAACCCTGGGAAGTACTGCCTGTCTTAACAGTTGAAGAAACTGAAGCTCAGTGAGAAGCTACCTGCCCAGTCACACACCTGTGAAGTGCTTCAGAGTGCCCTGCCGTTCTCTGGTTTCTGAGCCTCAGTTTCCTCATCTGCAAAATGAAGGTCATAATTGTACCTACGCTTTGGGACGGTGGAGTCTTCAATGGGTCAATGCATGTCATATCCAGGGCTGGGCACTGAGTAGGTGCTTGGAGAAGGAGAAAATAGTCCCTTGTGGGTTTTTGTCAATTTGAGGAAGTGTGGGAGTGGCTTTGCGTGGCTTCTCTGGAGCAGGGCGCCTCACCCACCACCCAGTCCAGCCCTAAGGCACCGTTGTCCCCAGCGAGTCATTCTCAGAGGCCCTGCTCTAAGCCACCCTCAACTTACCCCACCCTGGCCCTTTCTCAGACTTTCTCCTGAAAGGCTGTTCACCCACTGACATCTCACATGGCATTTTGAAATAAGCCCTTTTCTTAATTTTGCAATGAAGTGAAATTGTCCCTCAGGGGCCCGGTCTTCTTGGAACCACCAGTGTTATTGCATGAGTTCTGAACTCGTGCCATAGCCTAGGGCTGGGGGCTGGGGGCTAGGGGCACCCAGGTTTGTGGTTTTCTAACTTTTCTGCCTTGAATCACTTTATTGGGATCAGTTCGGCCAGGAATCCAGCATGAACGCATAGCTCAGGTGCCTCCATCCGCGCCCCGCCCTCCCCAGCCTGGCTCAGCAGGGCAGTTTCAGGACACGGAAGGTGTACTGGATTCCTAGGGCTGGCGCAACCAATTACCACAGACTGGGTGACTTAAAACAACAGAAATCTATTCTCACGATGCTGGAGGCTGGAAGTCCGAAATCAAGGTCATGCTCCTTCTAGGGAGGAACCTGCTTCATACCACTCCCTTAGCCTCTGGTGTTGCAGACAACCCTGGAGGTTCCCTGTCCTCACGTGGCGTTCTCCCTTTGTGTCTCTTTTTTACAGGGATTATAAAACATTGTCATACATTGTCATATGTCATATAAGGATTATAAAACATATGACATATTGGATTAGGGACCACTAAT